AAAACCTAGAGGAAATGGAAAATTTTCTGGAAATATAGCAAACTAAAATTACAACTTGAATACATAGAAAACCTGAATTGACCAATAATGAGCTATGAGAATAAGTCAGTGGAAAGAAAAAAAAAAAGTCTCCCAAGAAGAAAAGTCAGGACCCTCATGGCTTTACTGTCAAATTCTAGAAAACATTTAAAGAAGAACTAATACCAATTCTTCTCAACCTATTTCAAAAAAACCAAAAAGGAGGAAACCTCAACAAACTCCTTCTATAAGGCCAGCACTACCCTGACACTAAAATCAGTCAAAAACATGGTAACAGCAAAAACTAGAGACCAATATACCCCTGATGAGCACAGATGCAGAAAGCCTCAACAAAATATTAGAGAAAATGAATCCAGTACATGTTCAAATGAGATTTATTCCAGAGATATAAGAGTGGTTCGATATATGCAAATCAATAAACATAATTCAGCTCATCAGTAAGTCTGAAGGACAAAGACCATGTGATAGACATAGAAAATCCGTTTGATAAACTTCAATATCCCTCCATGATAAAAACTCTTAACAATAGGCACAGAAGGAACATACTTCAACAGGACAGAGGACACACGACAAATTCACAGGCAACATTATGCTAAATAGGGGAAAGCTGAAAGCCTCGATGCTAAAATTTGGAACAAAGCAAGTATGCCAATGTTTGTACTCCTATTAACACTATGCTGGACGTCTTAGTTAGGGAAGAGGAAAAAGAGAAAGAAAGGAAGGCAGGTAGGAAGAAAGGGGCATCTAAAATGGAAAGGAGGAAGTTAAATGATCTCTGTTTGCCAATGACATGATCTTATGTATAGAAAACCCTAAGGACCACCAAAAAACTGTTGGAACCGATAAACAAATTTAGTAATGCTGCAGGAAACAAAATCAAAATAGAAAAAAATAGTGTTTTTAAAAATCAAGAAAGCATCCCATTCAAAAGTTATTTTGCAAAAAAAATTTAATTATCTAGAAATAAGTTTAAGAAAGTAAAAGATTTCTACAAAATTATAAAACATTGATATAAGAAATTAGAGAGGACATATAAAATAAAGACCACCCATACTCATTGGTAAGAATATTGTTAAAATGTCCCTGTTTCCCAAAGTGATCTACAGATTCAATGCAATCTCCATCAAAATACCAATGTCATTCTTTAGAGAACTAGGAAAAAAAAATCACAAAATTCATGTAGAACCACAAAAGAACCCCAAAAGCTGAAGCAATCCTTAGTGAAAAGAAGAAAGCTGGAGACATCACAATACTTCAAAACATGCTACAAAGTGACAATAATCAAAATCCTATAACATGAATAAAAACAGAGACCAATGGAAGAGATTCGAAAATCCAGAAATTAACCTACCTATTTATTGTCAACTGAATGTTGTTAAAGGTACTGAGAACATACACTGGAGAAAGAAAAATTTCTTCAATAAAAGGTGCTTGGGAAACAACATATGTATGGCCAAGAATGAGACTAGATCCTTGTCTCTTAGCACATATAGAAATCAGCTCAAAAGAAATATGAAAATACTGGAAGACAACAGGGGACATACTTTGAGACAGTATCCTTTGATCAGAAATTCACTCACAAAATGCATTTTTATATGTCTGCATTAGGACACACATAAAATGATGTTCCTGTGGTTTAATTGGCAAAGACTGAAAACATCTAAAATTCATTAATAAGGTACCAGTTAAAGAAATTATGATTAGATGAATTTAATGAAATCTAACTTGCCAATTATAAAAGAGAGACTAGTATATATTAACTGATAGGAAAAGACTGTCAAGAAGGGTGACTGTGTAGGATATTAATTTGTAGCTGGGCTGGGAAAGATCCATTTTTATCCCTGGGGAAGTCTGGATGTCTAGCTTTATCTTTTTTTGGCCAAGATAAGGACATGACAAGCTGTTTCAAGTTGCAACTCCTCTGGTAATCCTACACAGCAAGTTTGCTTACTGATGGTTTTTATTTGGCAGAACTAGTTAGACAGCTTGGCTTGATGACATGATTACAGAGGCACAAAAATCCAGCTGGGAACTTTTGCTTTGAGATCTTATCACAAAGATGCTGCTATTTCAGTCTACAAGTCAGTGTGTGTGTGGGGGGCGGGGTGTAATGGAGCATGCGTCAGGCTATCCTTTGGACCCCAACAATTGCCAGAAGCCTCTTATCTTGCTGCACCATATCCTCTACCTTTAAATAAAAGGTATATTTGAGTGGAACTCTATGTAGAGTCCTCTGTTGTCCTTTCAAATATCCAAATTTGTGAAATCTTCACAGAAGTGAAATGAAAATAGCAAGGTCCAAAGTAATAGGCAGGACTGTGGGGAATATGCTTTCTGAAATGGTAGCAAGTCAAGTGGAGAAAGCTGTGAGGGACACCCAGGAGCAAATTCTGATCCTTCCTAGATGAGGATGCCGTGGCTGTGGCAGCTGGCTTGAGAACCAGTGGATCTTGCAAATATTTCAGGACACACACTGTGAGGGAAGAGCAGCGTCACACAAACCCGGAAGGTCAAGGGTTGTGTTTTCTCTCATATGTGGAAGCTAGAGAGGAAAAACTCAAGGTGGGAGGGATCTCATGAAAAGCCAAGGGAGATCAGAGAACGGAGGAAAGAAAGGGACCAGGGTGGGGGAGGAGGGGGAGAAGTAGGGAAGTGCTGGGGATGACACTGGCCAAATTACATTGTTATATTGTGTGCATGTACTGATGGGAACAATGAATCCCACCATTAGGTATGACTGTAATGTACCCACAAAAATATTTGGAAAAAATGTTGTCTATTAAAAAACACAAACAAAACCAAGAGCAGTGGCACAGCTCCAAGTGAAGCTTTCATCCAGCTTGACTCTGTCTTACACAGACAGTATTACCAGTATCTGTGACCTCACACCTGCCTCTGAGGATCTTGGGAAACTGATGGGGTGAGAGGCTGTATCAGCACCTGCCTGTGTAGTACTACACCTTCACACAGGGTGAAGACTGGGCTCCTAGAGCCCAGAGTCTAAGATATCCAAAATACAGCACCATAGAATCCATCACTCTTAAAATAGTATTTTGGTAAGGAAATGTATTTGGGATTAATAGAAGAGGCCAGAAATTAGACTGCTCTAATTTGAAGGAGTGGCAATCTCTTCCGTACCAGGAGAGTAGACACTTTCTACGTCCTGAACCACAGATAGTGACTCTCCTAACTGTGGGCAAAATGAAGGCTGAAAATGAGGGCCAGGAAATGTAAGGGACAGGCGGGTGCGCTGAGGATGCCAAAGTGGAGCTCGTAGTTAGATGGGGAGAAAACAACTGAGTGGAATGGGCACAGGGGCTGGGGATGCTTGGAACATGGCATGATGGAGTCTTGCTTCTCTTTTCCTGTTGGGTCTCTTCTGCTTTTGTTTTCTGGTCACAGCTACAGAAGAGAAATTAGACAGAAGTCACACTAGAAGCAGGAGGGATTTTCTTTTCCTGATCCTTTTTCATTTCTACTGCCACAGATATGTAATGTGGAGGCTGTGAAATAAAAGTGAGGTATAAAAAGAAGGGCTTGTGGGAAGGTCCAAAGTGGCACAGCAGCATTTTCTCTGCTGGGTTTTTAAAAATTTATCTCCCTGGTTCGGGACCAAAAAGAAGGGGCTATTGGAGGAGGGGTGGGAATAATGGGGCTGAAAGGAGAAAAAGAGAGCAATGTTCACACTCCAGAAGAGAAATATATACCCACCTACAGCTAGCTACAAGATCATTGCAAATAAGTGATGCATGTAAGTACTAATAAGCACAAATTCTTTAATATATTTTTAACTTTTGGAATTCTTGGAAATTAACTTTGTCCTCTCTGAACAAAAATCATTGTTCTTTTTCCTTCTTTGTCCTTTTTTCCATCTATCCATCTATTTACCCATCCATCCATCCATCCACCTACCTACCTACCTACCCACCTACCTACCAACCAGAAAATAAAAGGGGAAAACTAGTTTTTAAGGACTCCTAAAAAAATTTAAGTAGGTACCAAAAGCAGGTTTAAATTTTATACACCAATGAATGTCCTTATGAGCATGCAATAAACAATGAAAGGAGAAACACAGCGGCAGTGGGAAGGCACAGAACAATGGGAATGTTCCAATCACACCTCTGTGGATTGGGGACAAAGGATCTGTCCCTTTCCAAGATGTTTTTCACATCTCTCTGTGTTTATGGGAAATAAGGTTCTGGCTCTTTCTAAGAGTGAAAAATCAATTTGGGAACACATACTACAGGAACACAAATTCACCCTGAAGTATGTACTCTTCAGTTCCATAAACATCCACTAAAGGAGAGAAGAAAGTAGGAAAGGAAAGAAAAAGAGACAAAGGGGAACAATAAAATAGAAAATGAAAGAGGAACAGAAATGGGGAAAGGTAAAAGGACAGGAAGAGGCAAAAGAAGATAAACTAAGAAGAAAGGACATCCAGAGAGGGAAAGAGAAAGGGAACAAAAAGGAGCGGGACTGTAGCTCACAGCCATTCTGGTGGACTCCCTGTAGCTCACAGCCATTCTGGTGGACTCCCTGGGAGCTGGCTGTGATGAGACAGTCATGCTGTTTGGAATTGTTTAGAATGACTAAAGCTGTGGCACATATTTTAAGCCCCTCTATTTAAGCACATGTGGCGTGAAACACTTGAAATGTGACTAAACCCAACTGAGATGTCTGTAAGTATAAATGCATACCAGATTTGGAAGTCTTTGTATAAAAAGAAGGAAAGTGAAATATTTTGGATATATTTAGGCTAAGTATAATGTATTTTAAAAATTAATTTTACTTTTTTACCCGTATAAACATAGCAACTAGAAAGTTTAAAATTACATCTAGGGCTCATATTACATTTCTGTTGGAATGCACTGTTCCAACACTGTCACATTTTAATGATTTTAATCAAGGCTGATGAAGTAAGCTTGCTAATGTCTGAATCCCCCAAGCTGCTAAAAACATACCAATATGCTGGACTTTTTCATCAATGACCTCACAGTGGTAAGGCCACCGTGTTGGGCTTAGGGGCCCAGAAGAAGAGACACCATATAAATCCCGTGGTTCACGAAGGCGTGGCACCCATCTCCCCAGCTGATATTCCAAGAGTATTTGTGTGGTCCGAGGGAAGAATGGGTCACCAAAAGAATTGGCTGAGAAAAAGATTCAAACACAACCAGGAGTGACAAGAAGGAAAACACCAATTCTTACGATGTTTTACATAGTTCCTTTTTAATTTCCAACACTATTCAATTTATGGATATTTGTGGATATCATTAGTACTAACAATTATGACATTTCTAAATAAAAGCACTAATGAAATTTTGTGACAACTGATCTTCACAGAGGCCAAAAAAAAAATATTGTCAATTTGTATGCTATCAATTTATTCTCGCCACTACTCTCCATACATCTGGTTCTTGCAGCTCTCTTAGCACTTCATCAACCACTTCATCACACTCTTTGTCCATGGGTTAAATACACTCTGGGACTATAATTCCTCACCGCTTCCTGCAATTATGTTCTCAAAGGTTGCTAGTGATCTCTGTCACAATCCCCCCCAACCCCAGTTTTCATTCTAGGGTCCCCATGTGGCAAGCCCCCTGAACACAGTGGGGCCATTCCTAGCAGGCAGTGCAGTGGCCCTGTCTAACTGTGTGGCATCGATTTACTGAGAAGCTCCCCTTAAGCCATTTCCTTCCTTAATGATAACTTCAGAAACTGACAACTAGTCTCTAACTAGGAACTTGCCAGTGAAATGACCCAAATAAGGCTCCCTCTCCACTCTAACCAATCAAGTGTTTTCTTTGCCTTGCTTCTGCATTCACCCTGTGAAAGCCTTCCCCTCACACCCCTTAGGTGGAGCCCCAAACCACTTGCAGTGTTCAGCTGCCTGATTTTTTTGTGAATTGCTGTTTGTTCAAATGAACTCTTTTTAAAAATTTAATGTGGCAAATTTTATCTTTTAACAATAGGTTTCACCCAAATTGGAACAAAACGGCAAAAACTTTATAAATGAATCATGGCTTTCATTTCATTTCTTTTACTATTTTCTAATATAAACCAGGTTTACCTAAAATGATCCCAAAACGCTTAATCTCCAAAAGAAGCTTATAAAAGTGTATACAACAGTTCTCATTTCTGTCTCCTACTCACCAGAATAAAAATTCTTTATTTTACCCAATCTGACTTTCTTAGTTTCTTCACTTTTTATGTACTCAATGTCTTATGATAAAAGGGAGGAAAAATATATGGATAAGTTCAAACCTGTTAATAGTGTACACTGACGAATATCTTCACTTACAAATTTCATAAATGTTTCTTCATCCTAAAACAAGAGAATTTTTAAATTAAAAAAAAAAAATTCCAAAAGCAAAAATTTTTTTTACATCTATCTTAGTCCCTGGGATTGAGTACATGCCTTTAATGTTTAATAATAAGGAAATTAAAGATTTATTATGGGTTACTGGTCTCAAAGCAGTATCTCAAATACCCTGGAAATATAAAGTTTGCATCTTTATTCCTCCTCTTCCCTTGGGAATGGCAACAATGACCACAGGGAAAGAATAAAGGCTGAAGTTCAAAGGTACTTGGTAAACTTGGGAACACAATTTAAATTAAGATTAACAACAACATAAAGAAACAGAAAACCATAGACTAAGAGGTTATACTTTATTTGGGGGAGCTAACTTTTACATAATTTTTTACTATAATAAAATTTAAAAGGAACATCTCAGAAATGTGTACAAGGATCAGACAAAATATTTTTAAACACTACATTTCTCTCCCATTTCCTTCTTCCATATTCTTTCTTTTGTGATATCATAGACACATTAAACCTATCCGGGTTCTAGCACCATGTTCTATGATGTAACACTACAGAATTAGTACACAAAAGAAAATAAGTGGAAAAGAATTACAAAAATAAAACCCAATGATTTAATAGATAACAAAACCCAGGATAATAATCACAATTATTTTCTTAAGAAGACATATAGTTTTGCTTTCTAAATAGGGCATACTGCAAAGAGTAATAGCTTAGTTTTTCTATTGAATTATGTCCCATCTTCCATGACAATGATTTAAACATACAATTGATTTTGTAATATTTTAATTGGGAATATATATTTTGTAACATTTTATTCAAATCAAGTAAAATAAAATTTGAGAAAAACATACTAATTCATCTTCATCACTGACTGTTCTGTCTGAATAGTCCTCCTTTTCTGAATCTTCTGACATCTTTTCCAGTGTTAGGCTTGAAATTTATTATGTGGATAGGCTGTAAAACAATTTCTAAGAAACTTATTTGACAGATTTTTTTAAGCTGAAGGGTTTTTTTTACATTAAATGAGTACTAAAAATGCATTCAATTGTATTTAGTTAACAGTGACAAGATGCTAATTAAGCCTTTAACTTCAAAGATTTGAAGAAACTTTCTACTACTATGAGAAACACAAAAATCACAATAAAAGACAAATCAGGTTAAAAATTTAATTTAAAAAATCCAGAATACACAGGAAATTCATTAACATTCTATATTTACAATTAAATGTTAAATAGTGAAAACAGGTTCAGAATGATCATGGAGGCATTAAAATAAATAAAAATTACAGTTGCTTCTTCAGGCAGTGATATGTAGCAATACGGTTTTAAAAGGTTTTTTTCCTCCTTAATTTTCAGTTCAAGTGAAAATTCAAGTTCAAATGACAATTCTTTTCTTTTTTATAATTTAATACTATTCTGTAGATACCGTCACTGTTCTAATAGTCAATTATATTATTACTGAAACCTCAATAGCTACCAGAAGGTTGTATTGATGACGACCATTATGTGCCTGTCCAAGTATTCTCCCACGTAGTTATCATTAAGACAATGAAATAATCGAAATTCCTTGCCAAGATTCTATAGATTGGGAGAGGAATTTACCAATTTCAAATCTATTGGCTTTTGCTCCTCTCTACAAACAGCGTGCTCTGGAACGTGGGCTGCCCAGAATAAGGTCCAAGGTCCATCTCAAAGAACCACAAATGCAATTGAGAAAACTGCGCATAGGCGACTCCTCTAGTATCGAGATGGCCAATTTACAAAACTGGACAGGCCAACTCTCGATTCCGTCTCCTCACACGTGCATAGGAGGCTCACCACGTGCTGACTCGACGTGGAGTAAAACCTTGGCGTCAGCAAAGCCCCAGCCGAGGTGTAAGGGGCGCTCCCACGGGTGCAGCAGAAGCCTGCAGGCCGGAGTCCGCCACAATACAGGGTGGCAGTCTCCCCAGCTCACTCCTGCAGGACTCTGCACCGTGCGGGGGAGCTCATTTTCCGCCCGTGCTTCCGCAGGGGCGACCGCCTCCAACTTTCCTTCCTTCTCTGCACTGCGTCCCGCCTCAGGCGGCCCCTCCTCACTCCCAGGTCTTTCGTCCCCCTGGTGCTGGGACACTATTTCGAGAACTCCTTGAAGCACCCGGGTCTGGGGGTAGCAGGAGCTCCACTGTCTTTTAGCAGCCTCAACCACTCCCAGGCCAATCGTTACCTAGGCAACGGCCCGCTCTCGCGAGACCACGTGCACCCTGCGGAATCACTTAGCAACCAGCGCAGCAGCGGTGAGCTGAGCCCAGGCTTCAGCGGAGAGATGGAGCCGCGGGGTTTGATGGGGCCTCAGGATAAAGTTGCTGGGCGGCCAGAGAAGTTGGGGGTAGGTTAGGACGTTGGGATCTATGGGAGGATTTAGGAAGGCAGTTAGTCTCTCCTGTTCTGCATGCAACTGGTTGTCAGGCCTTTACTCAGAGAAGGCGGTAAAGCATACTTGTTAAGATTTGTATTTTGGAGCTCATCTGATCTTAACAGCATGATGGTGGACAAGTTGATTTTTCTGGACTAAACTTTCTCATCCTTTAAATGGATGCAATAATTGCAACTACTACTTGGAGTTGTTAGAAGAGTAAATCGAATGTTGGTCTTTGTATGCACGGTGAGTTCCATTCTGCACAATTTTATTCTGAAAAATGAAAATTTTCTCCATAAGTGTTGATTTGGAGGAGTCATGAACATATTAGGATGAACTCTCAAAATTCTTATTAGCTTCGATATTCTTTAAATATAATAATCATTAGCTAACAAATTTACTGTCTTCTGGGGCATGGCAAATCACTCTATGTGTATTATCTCAACTAATTACATATGACCTTTCCATAACAGGCTTAATATTATTTGTGTACATATCATTTTGATTTTTCCCTTATCTTTAGCTCCAATGGATAATTTAAATGTATTTGGAACAGTTTTCCAAGGATAGCTTAAAAAATAAAAGAATTACAGATATTTGAAGTCTTAATGGAGATAATGGATTATAGCAGTTAGAAAGTAGAATAAAAGCAAAGCACTATGGTTTAAGCATGGAAATAGGCTTTTGTAAGTTTTTGAAGGTAAGGTTTTTTTAGATAAGCAACTTAGAAATTTGAACGTTCCACATTAGGCCCAGGCTTGAGAAAATAGATAAGCTCTTTTGAAAATAAGTCTTCATCATACCTAATTTTATGCCATGCAAACATCACTGAAGGTGACATGCACAGAGAATCTTTGCTATGGTTTGGATATAATCTGAATGTGTCCTGCAAAGCTCCATATATTGTAATTTAATCTCTGTTGTGAAGTTTTAAGAGGGTAAAAACAATCTATGGTGTTTAGAGGAGGGGCCTTTGGAAGGTGATTAGGATTAGATAGTTATCTGGGTGGAATCCCCATGATTGAACACTAGTGGCTTTGTAAGGAGAGGGGTGAGAACCAGTATAGAAGTGTGTGTGTGCGTGCACGCGCACACACACACACACACACACATGTGATGCCCCATATCCCCTCAGGATGTTGTCAGCAAGAAGACCATCACCAGATGTGGTCCTTTGACCTTGTGCCTACAGAACCAGGACCCCTGTTTGCTTTCAATGTACCCAGTCTGGTATTGTGCTAGTGGCAACAGAGAACGAATTAAAACTACCTTTAAGTGTTTCTTCTGTTGGATTTTACTATGGTTACAAGGTATAGGATGTTGGATGCACAAGATAAAGCTCCTAGGAAAGATCTAATCAGGTTATACAAGAAATAAATGGCAAAGCTAGGATTCAAGTTTCATTATTTTGAGTTCAAGTATTTATAGGTCCAAATATGTCAAGTAATCCTTATAAAGGAAAATTATCTTAGTGCATAATAAAAATGCTTAGGAATTCAATAAAACTTTGAAAATCATACACCTTCATATTTCATGAATTCCACAAATCTTTATTGGATGTTCCCTGCATGTCAGGGACTGTGCCCAATGTAAGGCTACTGCAGGGAACAAAGCATTCTCCACAGGGATGCATTCTTGGGAGAGAAGTGTTGTGAATTACACAGGGTAGTACAGTTCAGCCAAAGCTTAGCTGGAGTTGGTATCACTTTAAAGAAATGATTTTTTTTTTCCCCTTATAAGTTAAGGTGGACTAGAGTCAACTTCCACCAAGGACTTTCTATCAGTCTGAGTTTTCCTTCTAGTTCCCTATGATCTGAGAAAGTTACTGGTCAGACTCCTTGTATAGCTACATCTGCCTGCAGATTTACTTCTGCAGCAATTTTCCCTCTTCTGCTTTTTTGGTGAGATTACTACAAGACTGCAATCTAAAAGGCAATTATTTTTTAAAAAAGTAGAATAAGAAAACAAAGGAGCAAACAACCAAAACCATACCCCAAAGGCCTAATCACTGGTGTGGGAATCAGGAGAAAGTTCATCTTAGCAATATGGTCAAATAGAAGTTATGTTGGGAATATACTTTGTGTAATTATATCAATTTGAGTTTATTGAACAAACTTCAACTAGAATAAGGTCCTAAAGGGCAATTAGTTATTTATGACATCATAGAAGTTAGTGGTCATGGGGCCCTTGAGGTCTTACCACAGTTTGGTTGATGAAGTCATACTAGGGCTTGGGGACCCAGGAGTAGTCCGGTACCATTCTGGATCTTCCTCAGACCATCTGGGTGTTGGATGACAGTATCAGGCCAAACCTCTCCAACTGTCTCCAAGTTCCAATCAGGCCAGCAACTAAGAGTAATTCCCATAAAGACACTTTTCCTAATCTCTCTATCATTAATAGAATTCATTTTATTTGGAGACTGCAAAGAAGCAGTAATTCCCCTTAGCACTTGGTATGCCCCCCACCTGCTCAACAAACATCAGGCTAAATTAATTCAAAATGGTTCTCAGGCTTAGTGTGAAATCTTATGGCAAAAAAAAAAAAACCAAAAACCAAAAAACAAACATGGTCTTTCCTCCTCAGTAACTGTCCCTGAACTGTGCAGTGGTGATATTTTTTCTACCGAGGATATGTTGGCCAAATTTAATAATGTTTCAGCCTCTTTCAACTCCTAAAACAATTTTATTCTGGTATTTGGTATTTAGATTCAGTATTTAGTTCGTTTTGAACTTCCAATTTCAAACTTAATTCAAAGTTCCCCTTCTTCCAACTTCTCAGAGCAGCCTAGGTGTGTCCCTGCTCTGGCAATGCGGGAAATGGGAGGGAGGTTGATGCTTTGCTGTTTCCATCCATCCTGTCTTCCTTCTAGTTTCTAGCTCCTCGCTGTGTTAGGATAAGGATAGGCCAGAGAGCCCAAGGGGCGAGGTATCCTTAACTGGCCAAGTTACTGGCTGCATGGTTGGACTCACATCCTGTCCCATCTGTTAGCTTCACCAGGAAAGCAGTGGCTCTGACTTGACACTGTCTTCAAGGCTCGCCCCTAGGCAATGATCCCTTGTGGCAGACGGTGGGGAGATAAAGGGGGGTGGGGGACAGGGTCCTTAAGAGCAGGAGCTCAGTAGCTGACAGCTGGGGGTCAAATATTCTACCACTAAACAGTTGTATGACTACAGGGAAGTTTTTGAAGTTCTTTGTGCTTCCATTTAGTTATGGTTAAGTGGGGTGTTTTAGACAGCTTTTTCGCTGCTGTGATTAAAGGATCTGACCAGCACAACTGTAGGGGAGGAAGAGTTTATTGGAGGGCTCACAGTTTTAGAGGTCTTAGTCCAGAGAAGGCTGGCTCTGTTCCTTGGGGCTCGAGGTGAGGCTGAATATCATGGTGGGAGAGGGTGGTCGAGAAAAGCACCTCACATCATGGTGATCAAGAAGCAGAGAGAGACTCCAGCTCCAGATGCAAAATATACACCCTATAGCCATGCCCCCCAATTAACCACTTCCTCCAGCCATACCCCACTTGCCTCTAGTCACCACTCAGTTAATCCTATCAGGGATTAATTCACTGATCCGGTTAAGACTCTCACCATCCAATCATTTCTCCTCTGAAACTTCCTGCATTGTCTCACATGTGAGTTTTTTGGGGACACCTCATATCCAAACCACAACAGTGGACATAATTGGGAATTGAGTAGTACCCAACTTGTTGGGTTGAGAAGATTAAATGAATGAAAAACATGTAAAATACAAAGCACTTACATATTTATTCATAACATGTGAAAGGGGTGGTCAGAGCCACCAATTTCCTCATGGCATCTGTAGTGGTTTCCAAAGTGTGTTCTCTTGAGATGAGCAGCCTTAGTTAGCATCATGTGAAAATTTGATAGGATGCAAATTCTAAAGCCCATTCCCAGACCTATGGAATCAGAAACTTTGGAGTGGAACAATGGATGTTTTAACAAGTTCCCCAGGTGATTTTGATGCACCCTAAGTTTTGAGAACTACTGAAACAGAGAATTAAAAGTGTTTACTGGGGAACCAGAATATTTAGTTTTGTGACTTTTGGCAGGTTATTTAACATCTCTGTGCCTTGGTTTCCTTGTAAAATGAGGATATAATGACACCTACATGATAGTGTTGTTATGAGGATTATGTTGTTAGCCTACATAAAGTGTTAAGTCATTTTAAGTGCTCTCATTCTGTTGTTTTCAGTGGGAATCTTTTAAGCATACATTCTTAGAAAGAGTACAGGCTGAGAGACAGAACTTGCTTCTTAAAATGTGGTCTCCAAAGCAGCAGCCACCACTGCAGCATCATCTGGAAACCCATTAGAAATGCAAAACCTCAGGCCTCACCCAGACCTACTATTTTTCTTTGGGTAGCAATTCTCTTTGGGTAGCAAAGAGTTGACAATTCAACTCTAAATCTACTAAGAATCTGCTGGGAGTGGAACCTACATAACTAAAAAGGCCCATTATTGATGCTGATGTTCACCAAGGATGCAGAAGCCCTTCTGAACTCAGAACAACTGATTTCCATCATTTGACAGAAACTCCAAGCACCTATGTTACAAATGTTGACAGGCACAAGACAAAAGATGGCAGGTTTTATATAGAAGAGTGCTGAATCAGGTTGGAAACCAATTACACTAATCTTGTGTTCTATATGATTGTAGTCCTTTTGCAAAATCCTAGAATATTCTGTGAAGGTTCCTATCTGGGTAGAAATGACCAGTTGAATCTTCTAAAATCTTATCTTGATGAAGCATTCTTTTTGAAATCATAGTTTAAGGTAGCCATTATCACTGAAAACATGGCTTGGCAAAATTCTGCTACTGAAACTTCACTAGAGTGAAGCAAGAAGTCAATATTTGTGGAGCTGAGATACAGGGATGAGTTGATAAAAGAACGATGAATCTGGGATCACAAAATGTCATAAAATAAATTAACCTCTCAGAACTCTAGGAATTTTACGACAAAAATTGACAGTACATCTAATCAGAGTTTATAAATTGAATTCCTCATGAAACCATCCTCTTATCACTTATGCAGCCTGTTCATATGTACTGGCACTGGGTACGCTGGGTTTTTGTGAGCATGTGTAAGGAAATATTTTTTCTTCAATTACTTCAGACTGAAGTATTCCTGTCCTCCCTTTGACTGCTGATTATTATTTGCTACATATTCTTTGACAATCATGTGTTACAGCTTTGTGATATTTTATCTCTTAGAATTCTTGAATTGCTACTCAATGTTTTATAACTTTTCTTATCTTTATCATTTATCTCCTTGCTATAATGATATAGTTGTTCTCCAGAATCAAGGCAGGTGGAAATCTGTGTGAAGACCAGATGACTTGAAATTCACTCTTACTTTTAGGAAACAGCTCTTTGGAGACCCAATCATCTGGAAAGCCCTCATCTTTGGCAATTAGAATATTTTTTATTCCCCTTTAGCTAAATCCCATTGCCAAAAGGAAAGCTTAGCTTTTCAAGCTGCCTGTTGTAGATCCTCAGGTGCTCTGAAGCAGGAGCAGCCTTGGCATAAATAAGAAAGAAAAGTAACAGTACAGGTGGCACATGGCTAGGAAGCTATTTAAATGAAAAAGTTTCAGTAATTACACCAAAGATGAAAGGACGAAATACTCTAGCAGAAACTCAAAGATGATCATATTGAATTAAAACCCAAACCCCAAATACATGATTTTTAGCCACTCATCTAAAACTAAAGGATATACAAAAGTTGAAAGGAAATGGACGAATTTATATGATGGAAGTGCTATTAGAAAAAAAGATACAGTAGCAAATATTCGGAATAAAAAATAAGCTTTAAGGCAAACATCTTTGCTACGAAGAGATCACTTCATAATGATAAAATATTAAATCCACTAGGAAGATATAATGATTCTAGATTTCAATGTACCTAAATTTGCTTAAAGTACAGAAAGTAAAATTAACAGGATTATATGGGGGAATAGACAAATTCATAATCATAATGGGAGATATTTTTCACATTCTTTTCTCAATAATAAAATAGAGGAAAAAGCAGAGAGGACATAGAATGTTTGGACAACATAATTAATAAATGTGACACAAATAGACATTATACGTGGATCCAGACCTTGTTAGTTTGTATTCTAACTCCCATGGAAGAACATATGCTTAGGATCATGAGATCTTTTTTCTTACTTCTTCTTCTAGTTGGAGCACATGTGCAAGCAAGAGTAGGAAAAACCTACAATATCTACTGGTTTGCATTTCAAACAAGGAACTACAGTAATATGTATTTCAGGTCATATCCTGGATATGTATATTATAAAGTTAATTTTCATTTGCCCCTAATCTTATCAATTTGTATTAGTACTACAGATTGATTCTTTCACTGCTTAATTTTGTAAATTGATCTTGATGACAAATATCTTATCCAGACTTATCCTTCTTGTTAGGACATGGCAATAACAATATTAGTGTATGTTTTTATGGTAACTTAATTTGCCAATCTTATTGATAGAATTTACAGAACTGTTCAGAGGCTTTGGACCCACAATTTAGAACTTTTGTGAGAACCTCAGATTTCAGATCAATTACTGCTACATTACTAGGCAAAATTGATAGGGAAAAGTATATTTGGATTCCAATGTAATTCCCATAACCCTGCAAGTGGTAAGTATTCATTAAATGAATGGTGTGTTTCTATGCCCCTCTTAGAATAAGGAGGAGTGGTATGTGACTATACTGGGAATAAATAAGGAGGAGGATGAAGTCTGATAGATTTATTTTTAAGAAAAAATAAATAATCCCTCTTTCAACCTTTTCCATACATGTTTGGTCAGTTGTTCACATTAGAACGATTTTGAATATTTTATTAGAAAATTATCTCTAATAAAAAGCATTTAAGGGGCTGGAGATATACCTTAGTTGGTAGAATACTTGCCTCACATATGCAAGGCCCTGGGTTCAATCCCCAGCACCACACACACACTCACACACACACACACACAGCATTAAAAAATATGAAAATGCTTTTTTTTTTCTTAAAAGACTGAAACCAACAATCAAGGTGAAAGACAGGATTTGCCACGCCATCATCTTTATTTTAACAGGCACACCTCTTGCAATCAAAATAATATATAGAATTATGTGAGGCAAAAACATTTGGAGGAATTCCATTTATTGTGGATGCATTTTCACAATATATTTTTATTGCAGCGATCAATTATCAGTGAAAAATATCAAGTGTTTATAACATTTTAAAGAATGGCAGATTCACAGAACATGCTAGTCAGCTTGCAGTTTTATCTCTTAAAGATAACAGAGAACTGTAATTAAACAAGTCAACGAGAAATTTTGTTTTACCAAAGATTAAATTTAAACTGAACAAAAATTCTACCTTAAAACTTATTCCTTCCAAACATTGGAATAAAAGTCAGGATCAGTACATTCTTTTCTCAACTTTAGATTTTCTAGAAAATACATAGAATAGTGATCAGGAGAAGCTCTTGTTCAAAAGTTCAGCAAAACAATGTTCCCTCACCACTGGCCTTAATTTAGATGTTGAACCATTTCACTCCAATGATGGGAATCCTCTACAGGGGAGTCTCACGGGAATTCTAGTTCATTTTATCGTAGACTTGTGTCTACTCTGTCATGGGTGGATGGCTTGTGCAATATTGGTGGCTTTCCTTCCTTTGGTCCAGGTTTGCTAAAAACTAGGGAATCCAACTAACCTTTCCTGATTTAGGAGGAAGACAGGCTTTGGAAGGCAGTGCTTACTCCACAAGCCAGCCCTCCCTGGCTAGCCTTTCTGGAGAAGTGGCTTATAACATAGTTATTTGGGATGCTCTATCAGTATGGCAGGAATGGAGCCTAAGACAATTTTGGCTAAGTCAACTGAGGTATGAAATTAACCTGGTGAAGCTGTATGTATATGTCTATACTAGGACATTTTGCCAAGATACCGGTGTATCTTCCATCATCTATTATGAAGAGTAAAGACTTACATGCTAAAATAAGATCAGATATCTGTATTGTGTGTGTAAAAATGGTAAGTCAATAAGGACTCAGGGGAAAAAAATCATACTAGTAAAATTCACATATATTTTTGAAATTTTAGAACATTATCAACTTATGACAAGTACCAATGACCAACAAAGTAGAAAAGTTTAACTTGAAAAATAGTTCAAAGTATATGAAGGTGGAGGTACTAGTATATGAAGGTGTCACTCCTAAATGCTAGATTTTACTCACTTTATTTCTCTGCTTCCCTTCCAGACATGAGCCAAAGTTGGTCTTTGTTTATATCTCTGTCTGGAATTCCAATCTGTGCAGTATTGTCATTGAAATTCTTGTCTTTAAATCTTAGCCAAGGAAGAGACCTTAGCTATCATGTTGGCCAACTTACCATGAACTTTAATATTACAGGCTGAATTTGATTCAGACAGTAGATTTTGTAAAATTCACACTGGGCTTCAAAAATTGTCTTGAATTATAGACTAAATACTATGTATTATAGAAAATTTCAACTCCTTTTGACACTTCTAATCTTTCTTTTCAATACTTTCTTTTTTATAAGTCATCGGGCATTGAAAACATTTCCATACCTACCTGCCATGTTTCTGTTGGCAAATATGAAATATTAATATAATATTGTGTTTTTTTAATTTTTAAAGAGCTGTGATATTGGCTAGTTACAAAGACATACTACTAAAAATAATAGTCTAGCACATGAAAAGCACTCTACTGTTAGTGTGTTTGTATACGTGTATGCATATACATACATACATACATAATCAGGTAATCTAAAATGTGGGTCAGGCTACTACACTATCAAAGAAATCCACAAAAGCAACCAACCTAAAAAAAATCAGTACCACTGTCAGCTAAAATAATAATCCAATTTAGATATGAATCAGCACGAAAAAAAGTAATACCTTAACAGTACATCTTCTTTTTTAAAAAAGACATCATTATTGCAGAATTTTAAATCCAAAACGGGTTACTTTCAGAAACAGTTACCATGGCCTATGTAGATAATTTCTTCCATGCTTTATTCTAAAGTGCAGAAACAACATGACCTCTGTATTAACAACAACAACAAATATGGTTCCTTTTCCTAGATACTGCACACATTCCTCAGGCAACCTTAACCTCCTGTTGGTGACTCCAATGTGGTTGGTATCGCTGTTCAGACACGAGCAGTAGGAAAGTCTATTTCACAGCATGGGTTTCTTTAGAAACAGGCTCCTGTGCAAAGGCGGTACTTTTACCATGAACATCTCTAGATGTGATTATTAAATATAGTGATCATATACATTGGTTTACTGGGATATTGAAAAACAAAAGAAAATGAACCCAATTTTGTAAATTGACATAAATATAAAACAGAGCAAGTAGCCCTCTACAACTGAGGTGGTCCGGCGTCTTGAGCTCTTGGGTTCTTTCTCGAACTGTCTCAAACCTGCTAAGAGAAGAGAACTTTAAATCGACAGCCCAGAGTATTTCACCCAGATGGCTATGGCAGAAGAAAAAAAACATAGTGTGGCAGGAATAAATATTTATAAATGGGGGCTGGGGATGTGGCTCAGTGGTAGAGTGCTTCCCTAACATGTGTGAGGCACTGGGTTCAATTCTCAGCATCACATAAAAATAAATTAATAAAATAAAGGTATTGTGTCCCATTTACAACTAAAAGTCTAAACAAAAAATTATGAAAGGGAGAATTACTATTTACATTCTATTCAAATATGTCTTTTAGGCTACCCTTTTCTTCTGTTGATTTTTTTTCACTCTTCCTAGCTTTCTCCTGTATGTTCCTTTTTCCTATCTTGAACTTTGGCTTTGCTTGTGTCATTCAGAGTCCAGGAGGTTGTTTTAAGCTTCACTGAAAGGCCAGGAAATTCTAGGGGTGCAGAGGGGTGGGAGGAGAAGGGAGGTTTACATCCAGGATAGACACACATGACCGGGCAGTCAGTCAGGCCCCAGCAACATACAACGAAGAAGGAGGGTACACTCATCTTTGGTTTTCTCCCATTTCCCCCCACTAGCAATCTCTATATTCTCCCTGTTATTCTTATACCCAGACCTTGTGCTTGACCCACAGTTCTATTCCTATTCTATTCCCCTTCCCTCTTATCTAGCCACTAAAAATCCTTACTGAGGTCCTAAAAGATATTAAGGTGTGGTGAATTTGCATTTCCGATGTGTTGTGCATTTTCATGACAAAGGAGGGTGGCATGACAGGTAGGTAGTGGGTTTGGCATTTTGGAGCAGAACAAGCTAATCTACTGGTTCCTTATCTCAGCTCTGGGTCTGGTGGGCCTATTCATATTATTGCTATAGAAGGAGTTCAGCAGCATAGACCAGGGATGAGGGGGTGGTGTGTGAAAACTGTCACCCTCCTGCCTGGTTCCACCATGTGGCACAGTTCCAGGGAGTGCCATTCAGGCTGGATTGTATATGAGTGGTGTTTTCTGAGTCCTGACACTCCAGGTCATCTTTATTCCACTTCCTAGAGCTCTGGCTAAGAGAAGTATGTCCAGAGGGATTCCACTGTACCTGTGATGACGGACTATGGACAGCTCAGAGAGGAGGATGTATAAACACTTGGACTGCCACTTCTGAAAGGTCAGTTATCTATGCTAGAAGGATCACGAAGTCTTAGGCCAATAAGTTCATCCTTTGTTTAAAAAAACAAACAATTCTTCCTGTCTCCTGCCACCAATAAAACTATGGTATTTTACTCAGCAATAAAATCATGGCATTTGCAGGTAAATGGATGGCATTGGATAATGCTAGTGAAGTTAGCCAATTCCAAAAAAACAAATGCCGAATGTTTTCTCTGATATAAGGAGGCTGACTCATAGTGGGGTAGGGAGAGGGAGCATGGGAAAAATAGATGAACTCTAGATAGGGCAGAGGGGTGGGAGGGGAAGGGAGCGGACAGAGGTTAAGAAGGATGGTGGAATGTGATAGACATCATTATCCAAAGTACATGTATGAAGACACAAAGTGGTGTCAATATACTTTATATACAACCAGAGATATGAAAAATTGTGCTGTATATGTGTAATAAGCATTGTAATGCATTCCGCTGTCATTTATTTTTTAAAAAATTAATAAAAAAGAAACTAATGTAAGAAAATTTAAAACTATACATTTCCTGCTGAATAAGAATACAGGCTCAGGTCAGCTTCACTAGCGATCCAGGTTTTGCTGCTTATTTCCTGTGTGCCTTTAGGAAAGTTACTTAACTTCTCAGTGCCTCATGGCTGGAGGATCAAATGGGATAATAACAGCACCTGGCGTAGGGTGGATGCTCCCTCACAGTGGTGTGTAGTGGTGATCATTCCTCCCAGGTGCTTTTTATATATTTGGCAATCATTTGGAAATCTGAACTTATTTAAATCATTTTAAGTAGAGAGGCTGGGCTAGTGGGACTTATGGGAATCAAGGAGCAACATATAACCAATAGAGAAGGTAAAGTAACATACCCAGGCAGCTGCACCAGACTTAAGAGGGTGCGGAAAATAGGAAAGGGAAAGTAATTCTCTCATTTCAGTGAATCCCAGTGGTTCTCTAGTTGCCTTTGATGTGTTCTTTGGCCTGAGTTTGCTTAAAAAGAGCTTCTGTCCCTAGAGTTCTACGTCCACTAAGAAGCAGTCTAATCTTACTCCTGGTTGGTCTCTCTTTAATTTTTCCTCTATTAAAGGAGAAGACTGGATCTGTTTTTTGAAATGGAGAAGGGCTTCAGTTAGGAGTTGAATTAGCTCCTTGTATAACAAGGGGGCCCTATTTGTAGTCTGAGCGTCCTTTAGATACTGTCCAGAGCCCCCTTTCTGAAGAATGAGCATTCCCTTTACCCAGAGGATGTCAAAAGTAAAAGAGGCATTCTGAGCATTCCTAGCCATTAATGTTCACAGGGCAGCACATTTTGCCTGACTTGTGAATATTATTTCAATTCATTGCCATGGCAACCTGGGGCCTGAGGCTGCTGGCAGTGTTTCCTAGAATGGCTCTGGAAAACAGGTCTGGATCTGTCTACTCAGGAAACAGGCACTTCCCCCTAAGGATCTGCTTTCCCCAAATGACCGTGGCATCACACTGGGTCCTTGCAAAGATACGTAGACCCCTGTCATCCCATGTGCCCATCTCTGCTGATCTTCCTAAGTACAGCAATGGAACAGTGGGTCAATGATATTTCTCCTTTGACAAAATGTTATATGGCAGGGTTCATTAAGAAAATAAACCTCTAGAGGAATGGAGGAGAAGAGAGGGGGCAGGGGGTTAGCAAGGATGGTGGAATGTGATGGACATCATTATCCAAAGTTCATGTATGAAGACATGAATTGGTGTGAACATACTTTATATATATATTCATACAGAGATATGAAAAATTGTGCTCTATATGTGTAATAAGAATTGTGATGCATTCTGCAGCCATGTAGTTAAAAAATAAAATCAATTAAAAAAAAAGAAAGAAAAGAAACCTCTAAAATACCAGTCCTTCAGAGAGTTTACCTTAGTGGGGGAAGTGACCTTATCCACAGATTGCTTTTCCCAGAGGTTCCGTTTGCCAGTTACGTCTCCTGGCCTCAAGTCCTAATGCAGAAAGAAGAGAAAGCAGAAGCCTTTGATAGGTAGCCATTTATATTTTCTGACCAGGTCTAAATCAATCACGACCTCCATTGTCTTGTTTGGATTAACTTGTTGTTTAGTGCACTTGACCCCAGAGAACTCAAGTGGATGGCATTAAAAGGATCACTCACTGTTAATTGATTTTATAAAGACCTCAACCTGATTGATGGCATGAGAATGGGCTGGAATGACATACAGCATCTGGGTCCTTGTCCTTCACCAAAGATTTACTGTTTATCAAACAGTGAAATTAGAATATAAGCATATCTAAAATAATGTAGCCTACTTCTAACTTTCTATGAAAAGTGAATAGAGCATGGGTTATTTAAAAATAACTTATTTGGGGTTTAATCAGCATTTTTCCCCTTGTAGACTAACTTTCTTTCTTTGTACCCCACCACATCCCCAGCCCTTACTGCTTTAGTGCATGACTTCTGATTGCCAACACTGCACTTCTTTGCCTCAGACCTTTCTCTAGCTGTAGATGACCACTTGCCTGCATAGTTCATATCCCAGGAGCATCTCTCAACCACTGACCAGTGAGCACAGGCACAAGAATGCTTCTCAGACCTCCTCATGCTCTGGGGTAGGAAGTCTTAGAAGCATGTGTTCTCCAGGGTTCCAGGGCTTCCCCAGCGAGATTCACTTTTAACAGCCCCATTCAGTGACTTGCTTAATAACACAGTCCCTACTGTCTGCTTTCTTCTCCCCATCTCAATCCCTGTAGTATTTTCTTCACCTCCCAAATAAACCCCTTGCACTAGGATCACTGTCTTGGAGTCTAATATCCCAGATAAAACCTTTTTCTAACTGTACTTTCCTCCCACCAAAAAACCTTTTGTGTTTCCTAGGGGCAAGTGGGTAATTCAGAAGAACCTAGCCCCACAAAAATAAATGTCTATTGCAAATTGTACCCATAAGGGAAGTTGAGAGTCAATGACATATGTAAGTACATGTGGGGATCTTGGGAAGGAAACACTAAAATATGATCTATAACAGTTATAGAGCTTTGAGCCTTTATTTACTGCCTCATAACTAATTTTGTTTGGATGAGGATCCAAAATTCTGTTTCCATTTACTTTTCTTCCAGCATCTGCTTATATTAGTACTTGGCAAAAGGTAGTTTGTAGAAAATAAATGTGTTTTACTGAAATAGTACTGCTTATTTTGGCAAACTCTTTTCTCATTTAAGAAGGCAAAAGCTCACAGCAATTGCATCTATCCATGGACACAGGTCTAACTGAACGTATTTCTAATACATAGCATTGAGATCTCAACACTGAAAATGCACTATTAAATGGTACCATGTGAAGCATTTCAGATTTGCCTTAATCTTATTGAATTTCTGGATTTCTGCTGTGGCATAAATTCCTGATATTCTATTAGCGTTATACTTATTTAACTTGGAAACATTAAGCAATAAATCAGGACTTTTTTTTTTTTAAGAATTTCACTACATTTGCCAATGTAGGTAAAAGTTGCCAAATTGTCTGGAAAACTGTTTTGAAATTTTGCAAAGTATAATTAGGAACGTGCTGATGGAAACTCGGAAAAGTGGCTGTTATCACATTATTTATTTGATTTGTGCGGAACAAATATTTTTCTTTCACATGAAGCTTCTTCTACCTGAGAAAACGGATTGCGTTTTCCTTAAATTTTGCCAGTGAATCTTTGGAGATTACTTAAAGAGTTTAAAGAGTCAGTTTTAAGAAAATATTAGCATCCTTAGATCAAAGGGGAAATATAAATGGAATTACCTGACCAGACTACATTTTAGAGAAAGACCCACTCCGGAAGAAGAGGGAGAAATGAAGGCAGGAGAGGCAGGTTTCCAATCAACCAGACCAAAGAGGGAAGAAGAGAAGCCAGCTGAGAAAGACACTGTTGATGGTTGTGTTTTTTTTTAAACAAAAAGAAAGACAAATTAGCTTTTTAATTACTGTATAACATGCAGTTCAGACACAAAGAATAAGACAAACCAGCCAAAACAAACACTTAGAATTGAATTCCAGTTACAAAATGACACGGAAATCCTGTAAATTCTATGCACAAACAGCTTAAATGTCCCAGTAAGAAATCTGCTATAGGTCAATGTTTAATTTTATATAAATTAATTTTCAGGAATTCCAAATACTATTGAGTTGGCAAACTGTTCTGAGCACATGTAATTCTTAAGATCTATGAAAATTATTACTTTTCTACTGGTAGACGATGTTTTTCTCTGCAGTGAGCTTAGAAGTCAACACTTTAATCCTTCGATTTACTGTTTTCCTTCTTCTTGGCATTTCCCTGGATGAGGACCATTTGGTTCCATTAATTTCTCACTGGTTTAGTCCTAATGGCCACATATCTCTATGCAAGCACAAACCTAACTTTCTCCTCCCTCCATCCTACATCAAGGAATAGAAGCAATGAGCTGGCTGTAAACTGTCCCCTCTCCCAAATCAGAAGACAGCTTTATGAATCTCCTAATTGTCCTTGTTTTTAGGAATCTTGACATTCTGGGCTCAGGATCAGTCTGGCCTGAGTTCGAATGGTGTCAAACTCACAAGTTTTCCATGAAGGACCAAGGTGGAAACACCCAATGGCCAAAGAGGCTTGGCAGTAAGAAATTAAGGAAAAGAGGGAATCAACAACCTCAAGAATTCAGCTTTCTATGCTTCAAAGTATACTTTAAGAGTATACTTTAGGACAAAGGATACTCTTAAAAATGAAAATACAGCACAATGGTGTGGGTCAAGCCACACAGATCTTAGTTGCAGGCCAACAGTGTGAGATCCTATGGATGAGACCAAGATCCTTGATTGAGCTGTTTTTCTAAACCACCTTTCTTGGATTTTTTTTTTTTTTGCCTGCCTATGTTTAGGCATCTGTAGGATTCTTCCAACGCTTCCCACACTGCCAAAACTTCACCCTTCTGTTGGACCAATAGTGTCTGGGCTACACATGTCTGCTGTACTGAACTCTAAGTCATATTCTCCCCCAGTGAGAATGCCCTGTTGCTATCCATTCTCTGAAATGTTGCTGGGAAGCTAGGTCTAAAATATGGGTCACTACTACTACCACTGGAGCATGCATAAAGCTTAAAGTGGCTTAATAAGCACATAAGACCTAGTATTTTATTTACAACATGAGTTACATTTTGATTTCTTCCAATATGGTCCTTATTCAGGAAGCTACCTTGGTCCACAGAATCAAATGTGAAGAAAGAGATCACTAAAATCATAAGAACTGCCATATTTGTTTTTTTAACCTCTACCTTCCAGGAGGTGGTCTAGCAAATCACTTGCTAAACTGTAGATAAAGCAGACATTGATTCCATAATTTCCCCATTCTGCCTTTTATTAGGAAGCCATTAGCCAACAATAATCCTAGAAAATTATTATTTAGTATGGTGGGAACTTTGGCATGGTTATGCCAATTATAATAATAACTGAATTTAATCTTTTAAATCTTTCCATTAGAATGACATACAGATTATGATAAGACTGTAGTTAAATTGCTGATAAACAAGTAGGGATCAAATTTCTGAGAACAAGTTGGTATAGGAACGAAATAGATCATAAATGCTATAAACCTGAAAAAAATTACCACTTCCTCTATTAATGTGCCATACTCAAAGAGGAAAACATTATCTTTCCCTCCTTTTTCCTTTTCTATCTTGAGAGTTCTCCAGGGGGTCTATGAGCTTCTTGGACTTGTAGATGTTGTGTGGGAGAGGTTCCTTACATTTGATTAGGCTTTCAAATGGGTCCATAATTGAAAAAGTTTACTAGTCATTGGCCTGGAATCAGAAGCTTTGTACAAATTGTCATGGTTTGTTTTTTGAAATAATTTTTACTCTGTAAGTTATGGGTACTTGGAAACTTAAGGCACTAAAGAGCAAATACTTTTGAGATATGTTTTCTTGTCTCCACTGAATCCTTTTACAGGTCCTCCTCTCCTATATCTAGCTGTGTTGGTCAATATGTAAAGATTTTCCAATTGAAAATTGCATTTGCACTGTTTATGCTTCTTGTGAACCTTCAGGCAAAGTGTCTTGGGTTGAATAGTAATTAATAGCCTCAAGGAATTGTACTAAGAAGGATATGCAGCTGGTCGTGGTGGCACAAGCCTGCAATCCCAGAAGCTCTGGAAGCTGAGGCAGGAGGATTGTGAGTTCAAGGCCAGCCTCAGCAACTTAGTGAGGTCCTAAGCAACTTAGTGAGACCCTGTCTCTAAGTATTAAAAAAAAAAATGTTAAAGCTTTGGGGATGTAGTTCCCCTAGGTTCAATCTCCAGTTCCAAAAAACAAAAAAATTTAAAAATTAAAATAAAAAAACAAACATGTCCTTTTTTTTTAATTGGAAAATTACAGAATTTAAATTTAGTGACTTTAGAGATTATATGTGGAGTGGACAGATACAATTAAATGCTATTGTGGCTCAACACCAGAGACCTGGTATTTAGAAAGTTTCTCTTCTCCTTCTAGAATGTAGGGTTTAAGTCGATTAACTCTGCTTCCTTGGGTACCAACAAAGGTATACAGCCAACCTAACAGAATGCTCAGCAATACACAATAGGGTATTTATATGTAAGGCACTTACCATACACACTCAATGAAGGTTAAAATAAAAATTTTTAAGTAATATAGCTACACTTGATAAATGAGAAAATTTTAGATTTTTAAAAACAACACTCATGGGCTGGGGATGTGGCTCAAGCGGTAGCACGCTCGCCTGGCATGCGTGCGGCCTGGGTTCGATCCTCAGCACCACATACAAACAAAGATGTGTCCGCCGAAAACAAAAAAATAAATATTAAAAAAATTCTCTCTCTCTCTTTAAAACAACAACAACAACAACAACACTCATAATCAGTTTTTCTAGTTGCTAAATTAACTGGTTATAGGAAAAATAGCCCCAAGTTATCTAATTTCCAATTTTTTATGGTTTTCCTCTGCAGGTACTGATAATAAAATGATAGCAATTAATTATTTCAACAACTACCCAAGAACTGCATTTTTATGCCAAGTTATAGAAACTAGGTAAATTAGAAAATATGGGTTCAAAAAAGCCAATATACATTCTTTTGGGAATCGGGTAGAAAGTCTTCATAACAGAGAAGCAGCCAAAGTAATTTGACATTTTGTTTTCAAATTCCTATCTGTAGTTTATAGAATAGAAGCTGAACAATAGACCAGTGAAGGGTCTAAGTTTGAACTGCTCTACACTCTGGCTAAGTCCTCCTCTCAGGGTGGAGAGGTGATAATATGGCTCCATTGACCCTCTGGGTGATCACGGTAAGGCTGCCGGGGACCCTCCAGGTGCACACCTCCTTGCTTGACACTCAGCAGACAGCAGAAGCACCTTCTTTCCTAAATCAACAGACCAACTGCCCGTTTGCTGCTGCTGCTGGAAGCTGAGATCACAGAAACTCAGAAAAACCTGCAGCTACTTACAGAAGGTTTGGGAGCAGGTGACTTATTCCCATCCGGGGTTTTAGTTAGCCATTCATTGATGCGGCTGGAGACTCCCACCTTCAGGCCAGCAGTTTCCTAGTATCAATCATCCAAAACATTAAATTAAAAAGTAAACTTAATCTGGGAAGGGATCTTGAAAGCAACCCCTAAGTACCATTAAGTATTATTTTACAGAACCATAAACCTAAATGATATTGATACTAAAGGAATATCTGCTTTTCTTTCTTGTATACCTCACACCATCCCAACCCAAAGAGTTAGCAAGTAACCTCAGGCATTTTACTTAGAGGTCTATGGCCAGGTCTAGTACACAGGATCGTTTCCTGAGTACATTTGCCCTCAATTTGCTTTTATGGTCATTTCAAAATAAAAAAGTACAAATTGCACCTTTACCAGTGCTTTTATTACCAACTAGTGTGACTTCTAAAACAAAATGAGGGGAAAAAAATCTACTCCTCTAAACTTAAAAGACAAAAATCACACGCTTACCTTATTTGGTGTGCCTGATGCAGTCGGGGAGGAGAACACATTCCCTTTCTCCCACATGCTCTTGATATTGCGTACCCCTTCAGCAGGAACAGGAAGATCAGAGGCTGCTGGCTTGATAGGTTTTGCAGTTTTTGTTCCCTGAAATGGGTGAATTATCTTTAGGATTGGTGCTGAGAAGTTTGTCCTTGTAAAATTATAGAAAGCTGATCTTTCTCAACAGGATCATTCAAAAATTTCATTGTGTATACACCTTCACCAAAAATAAGTCATAATTTCTGTTGTAAAAGTGTACTCTGGGCTGATTCCATGGTAGTGGGTTATCAGAACTTATTAACATTAGTGTTACTAAAGTTGATATACAACTCCCCACTGCTAAATTTGACTGGCTTAAAAAAATTAAAACAAAACCAAAACTGTACTCTGAAGACATATAGCCCCCAAAATAAACTGTAAGAGCTTTCAAAAATGAAATATGCTTTCTAATGGAGTGTTATTTATTTTTAAGGTAAGTCTAACTTTTTACATTCAGTAGATACATTTTAAATCCTTACTATGGGCAGGCAACTTTGCTAGGTTCTGAAAAAAAGAGGGTATTCAAGTATGCTTGAAAGGTGGGCAAAAGTCTGCTCTGTAAGCTACAGTGGGTTTAGGTTTCAATAGAAAGATGGTAACTAGTTACAAGTGTTTCTTTCACATTGTGGAAAGTGCAATGAGAAATAATAAGTATTATATAGCCTGGCAAAAGGGGACAGAATACTGAACATGGTATGTTTGGGGGCATAAACAGACTACTCTGACCTGGCAAATGACTCAGAAGTAATAAAGGGAACAAGAGGAACAAATTCTGTTCTATGCCAAGGTAACAGCATGTGCAAATATTCTGGAGCAGGGAAGTGCTTCAAGACTAAAAGACTGAGATATTTTAGCATGATGAATACACTGGAAGGAGGAAAGAATGGATGTAAGTAAGGGAGATATGCATTTGAGATACTTTTCCTCTGGTCTTGCTCTGTGGCCTGTGGTCAAGATGGTCAACTATAATAAGTGGCACCCCTAGGGGCCATGTCTTAAAAAATAATTTTGCCAGTCTCTGCAAAGTCTGAAGTCTGTCTCGATTTCATTAGACTTATTAGTGCCAAGACCAACTGAACCACAGAAAATTGCTGTCTGCAATTTGTCTTATATTTAGTGGACATTAATCTTATGAGTAAAAATCACATCTCGAGTGTTAGGACTTGATTATTATTGATTATTATAATTTGACAAACCAGAGCTCTCCATTTCTTATTTCCTCTTATCATTTGTTTGCAAACTATCTTATAGGCATCTCCATTCAAGGGTACAAAGAAGATGAGAAAAAACAAACTAATATAATTACTTCATTGCAGACACTCTGATTCAGAAGGAGGCTAAAAGCATTGACTGAAGTCTACATAAAGAGAACAAACTAGAGACGTACCTTAGTCAATGAGACCTGTCCTCTGAGTGTCATTAGAAATACACATTATTTCCAAATACAGTAAAACCTCCAGGTCAATCAGATTCAAGTAAGATAGAACCTACAAAACTATTGTCCTTCAAACTTGAGTTGTCTATAATCTTTACATTAATTTATACTATTATTTATTTAATAGTAAGACATTTTATAAACAAAAGAGGATTAAGCAAAATTGTAAGGGACCTAGTTAAATCAAATATAAGAATATATTGCAAAAAGAATTGAGGATAGCGAAGACACACCTGTGAACATGTACACAATATAGTTAACTACCAATAAACTCATTCATTAAAAGAATACCACTCAAACATACAGGCTGAAAGTAGTGAGCAGTAATCTATTTAAAACTCTTCTGTAACTATAATATTTTATAACCTTATTTTTATATTTTATATTTATCTTTTATTACTGTATTTCTCCATAACTTGTGCAAAGTACAGTAAAACATCATTAACACCTCAGTGGCTCCTGGATTTCTTTATTCTGAGTGAATAAAGGGCATCAGAGCCTATTTCTGTTCAACAGCACCACAACAAAAATACCAATACCTCCTGTTAATATTGGAGGCCAATTCTCACCTCAATTGCACTTGTGTATTGCTCCAGTCTGCTGTCTATCTTGGAGACTACTGCAGCTTGATGAGTTGTTTTGACACCACTGCTAAATAAATAAACATATGCATAAAAATATGAGAGAAAATAAGTGTGATGGTGTACACCTGTAATGCCAGTGATTCAGGA